AAAAAAAAAAAAAAAAAAAAAAATAAATAATAAATAAATAAATAAAAATAAAGGAAAGCAAAAATTAATAAAATTCAACAAATTACAAAAATAACAAAGTAACTCTACAGAAGAGTGTTTGCATAGCATACACAAGGCCCAGAGTTTGAGTTCCATCATTTTAAAAATAAATTTGCATCAGTAGGATGGCTCAGTGGGTAAAGACACTTGTCACCAAGTTTTCTGACTTGAGTTCAGTCTCCAGAAAGCACATGGTGGAAGAGAACTGACTTCCACAAACTGACCCCTGACTCCCACACGCATGCATGAATGCACACACATGTGAGTAAATAAAGGTCTAAAAATCTTTTGAAAGGATAGGTCATGGAAATTTCTTGAAAAAAGTCACTAAAAATAGTCAAGATGGACATGGGTGAAAAATGAATTAGTTAGATGGAAGATAATACTATGGAACTATTCCAGAACACAAAATAAAATAAAAAAGTAAGAGAGACAGTTTAGAGATATGGAAAATAGATGGCAATGATGAAACACTGTATACTAGGAATTCCATGAACGACTAGAAAGGAGAGAATGGAAAACTGTAGAATTTTCCAGGACTGAAGACAGTCATGAATCTACTCCAGATTCTAAACTGGATACATGAGAATAAAGGCACACTTAAACTACGGCACATTGAGGACAAAGTGACAGTTCTGCTGGCACGCTCGAGTCAAAGCTGGCATTTTCTTCTGAGGAGCTGCAAAGACTCCACTTCTCTCCCTGCTTCCATGTTTCTTCTATACTCTTACAGTGTATTCACCAATGTAGTTAGCTTCGACTTAGTTGCCTGTGTATTCACCAATGTAGATTTAGCTTCACCTTAGTTGCCTACTTAAAATTGTCCCATGTGTTCTTATTATGTTTCAAACAATCCTTGCTGTGACTTTTTCTGGTCTTTCTGAACTCGTTCCCTATCTTCCTCATTTATCCCACTCTGGCCACAGTAGCCCTTTTGCAAGTCAAAAAAAAAAAATCATGTAAGTAAGTCCCACCCCTATTCTGGCATGTACTGCAAGCCTACTCTGGGAAAGTCAGTTTTCTTCAGAGGTGTGATCCAAGCTCCACCCTTGTATATGCAGGCAGAGCCAATTGGACTCAGTGGGTTATCTTTTTAAAAAGAAGAGGATTAAAAAGAAAACTAAGATATAAAGTTTGGAAAATGGTATGTTGTCAGAGAGGGAGGCATCCAGGAGGAGTTAGTTGTAGAGGTGAGTTTGAGGTGGAAATGATGTAAATACATTATATGCATGTGTGACATTACCAAAAAATGTATAATTAAAAAATCACAACCACTCTACACTTGCCTTGGGCATTTATACTTGTTCTCTTCAGTTAGACACTATGCCTCCATTTTTTAATGACTTTCTACCTTAAATTTCTGTTCAAATGTTGCTTCTCCTAAAGCTCTCCCAGCAACAGTATCTATAATAGCACCTCCTGCTGACTTTCCACAGTTCCTCACAGCATTTGTCCCTGCTAGATATCTGTTTCCTGTCTTTGTGCTCCACTGAGGTTAGCTCAGTGACTAAGCTCACAGACAATCGGTTATTAGATATTCTTTATGGTGCTAAGGGTTGAACCCCAGGCTCTGTGCAGAGTAGGCAAGCATTCTGACATTGAATGACATCTAGCCTAGTGACCCATAACATTATGTATCCATAATGGCTTGGAATGCATTTTAAATTAAAGGTATTATAATTTTTTTCCTCTTGAAATTAATAGTTTGATTTTTAAAAGCATTTTTTATCTCATTTCTTGATGTGATAAGCCGATAGTGGAAAGAGGGACGATGTCATCAGCATGTGAGAGGAGGCTAACGTAAGTGGTAGGTGGCACTGGGAGTTTGCTGCTATGGTTTCTCTTTTCTAGGCAGTATTGATTGCTTTACCAGATATGTGGCGTAATTATATGATAAGCAATCATATTATCAATTACAAAGTACTAGATTAACAGAATCACTTTTGACATAACATTTGCATGTTTATTTTTGATAAAGCTAAATGAACACATTAAATATTAACAGTTCACATTTTTAATGACTACGATTTTGTTTGTTTTGTTTTAGGAAGCGATTTGCAGCTGAGTGAATCGGAAAGTGACAGTGATGACTGAAGCGATATTGTGTTACAAAGAAAACATTTGTAAAACGTGGGATAATCTGTCTCGTATTAAGATTAAATACTCTTTGACTAAGGAAAATATGTAATTTTTGCTGAAAAACATTAAATTGACTCAGAATTTCAACGTTTTATTGGTATTCTCATGTTTTATCTTTATTCCTAAGAAAACGTCATCACATTTGATAGATGGAAGACAGATTCGGAAGTTAGGGAACTTGTCCCAGATATTGTTAATGACAAGCTTCAGACCAAGTATTCCGGAGTATAGGCCCAGGGCTCTCTTTTGCCACTTTGTTGTCCCGGATTGTGTCCTAGAACAATTGATTTATAGCAAAGTGCATGGTTTTCATTATGGTTGTGCCTTTCACATCTGATATTCTTCAAATTCTGACTGAAAATTCTTTCACTCTTGCCAAATTTAAATATGTTTTGTTGTCTTTTATGTTTTTTTTTGCCTTCAAGAGAAGAGTTTAAGTATTTGGCATTTATACTTAGAATACCTTTGAATCGAAGGAAATATAAGTATTTAGTTATAGCTGGCCTGAAAACATATTACTCATTACTATCTTCATACTTTTATCCTTTCCCAGTACCCTGTAGTTGGAATTATATGGGGTATGCCTTTTCAGATCAGCCTTCATGGTTCAGCAATCTTTAGAAGGCTGAATATTATTCCAAGTCTACATGTACCATAGCTTATCCTTTTGCCTATTGAATAATACTTGCTTGCCTCAAATTTTGACAATTATGGAAAAATTCAACATCATCAGTTCTTGCTGATTTTATTTAGCTATAATTTATAGAGAGTTTTGGCTTTACTTTCTTCTCTTTCTTTCATTTTTCTTCTCTCTAGTCTCTCTTCCATTAATTTATCTTCGTTTTCTGTTTAACTCATTAATACTTAGCTGAAAACAACCACTATATCATTTATTATTTAACAAAAGCAAATGTGTATATTCAATATAGCTAGTAAAACACTCCCACTGTGTTAGTGAAATAATTTGGAATATAAAGTTTTTACTCAAAGTTATGCTGGAATTTTTTTTATTACTATTAATTACAACAAGTGAGTACACAATGGATAAGCTGGTAAGGTTGACTCTCAGGCCCCTTTTCCTATAGTCAAAACAGCTCAGTTTGTTTCCTCCTTTTATTGTCTTTGTAAATGAAATATTCTTAAGACTTTTTGAGGGGAGCATATTCTGAAACAGAGTCTCATTATGTCACCCAGGTTGGCCTCTAACTCACATTCCTCCTGCCTCAACCTCCTAAATTCAGAAATTCAGCATGCATCACCACACTCAGCTTAAATGCCATTTTAATGAATTCATCTTTATCCTGTATACCCTCCAAGGGGAGGGGAATAGGTTTTGGGTTTGTCCTGTAGTCTTACACTGTCAAAATCAACTCAAAAATTTGTGATCCCAAAATGTGTGGTGGATTTCTCTCCAACAAGTGAGCAAGCATTTTACAGCAGACACCAGCTGTGTGTCTTCTAATTCAATTTAGTTATGATACTCCCTGCCTGGAGATAACAACAGATAACACAGGGTAAGTGCCCAGTCCCCAAGGCTGCTCCCTCTCACTTCAGATGTCAATCACAAGCACTAGATTGTTTAATTGTGTTTCAGACCAACTGGCCATAAATGGAGCTCACTATAATCCCTCCTCTAGTTCAATTAACTTGCTTCAGTGGTTTACAGACTCATAAACATATTTTTATGAAGGGTAACGTGAAGAGGTAAAGGTATGGGGAAGGAGTATGGAGAGTCTACACCCTCTCTGGGCACACAAAGTTCAGCAATCTGGATGTTCTCCAAATCATGTCCTCCTGGAGTCTATGGAGACTTCATTGCATAGGCACAACTGCAGATAGACGGATGAAGAAACCTAACTAGGCCTGTCTGTTCAGATTCTTCAGTGTTTCTTCCCCATGGGCCTGGGGCAAGTTCTTCTGAAATGAAAAGGGTCTAATGACCAACTGTTACACGAAGAAGATATGACTGTCTTTATCATGTGCTTAACAATAGGATAAACTTAGGGTATATTTTTAGACTCTGTGGTCTGCCTTGTCAGATTGAAATTCTAGTGTCTCTGATCTGCCTTGGGGACAAAAACAAGCAGGTGAAATGACAGAAGAAGGAGAGCCCAAAGGATGAAGGGAGGATAAGATGAACTAAAAAAAGGGAGAAAGGAAGAGAGACTGTTTTCAGAGGTTTGCTTTGGAGGTTGGTAATATCCTAACATTCTGTAACTGAGAAGACCTAGAGAATAAGAATTACAGGAGCAATGAGCCAAGAGTCATGGATGAAAATCAAAGAATATATATATATATAATATATTATTTAATATATAATAATAAGTATATATATAATAGTATCACAGACATCCTGAAGAGCCTAAGAAAAATAAAACCCTAAAGACTTGAAAGTCATGTGGACTTCAAATGCATTGCCCCACACTTACAGAGCCATCAGAAGAGGATTGTTAATGTCTAATCACAATGTTGCTGCAGTTTGTCACTCAGTAACACCCTCTGCTTTCATTTCTACTTCCCAAATCTCATGCAAGTGGAGGCCAATCACAACAGACAAGGTGATTCCGAGAAGCAGTTTCCCATTTAAACTAAGCTGACAATTGCCAACACTAAAGTTGGGACCACCCAAGTGTCCATCAACCTAAGAATGGCTAAATAAATAATGATATATTTGTATAGTGAATTTGACCAAACAGAAGAAAATAATATCTTGCTTTGGGCAACAACATAGATGAATCTCACCGATGTAGTCTTGAGTAACAGGAGTCAGACACAGAGAATGTAAACAGTGTTACTCTATTAACATGAAACTCAGTAGAAGCAAATGAAATCCGTGACGATGAAAGAATAGTGATTACTCTGGTGGAGGGGAATTTGACTAGGAAGCAATGGGTATTATTCTTTGAAGGACTTCCAAGCCATGGAGAGAGTATTTTTTTTTTTAACTAGAGAATGTTTTTACCTTGCCTGTGTGGTAGCCATGTGTAAAATCAATGGAATTGTATGTTCATGATTTGTGCACTTTGTTATAAGTTATATTTAATTGTAAAAGTCCATGAAATCGATACATAGAAAAGTCATTCAGCACAAAGAATGGTAGTGTTAATATCAGTAATACTCAAATACACCTTCCAGATTTACATTAACGATTCAATAGAAAAAAATGGGTAAAGAAAATGATACATCATTTGAAAATATTCAAAATCATTTATTTTAGCTCAGCAGCTTTTCCTTCTACACATTATCTTATAGATAAATGTAACTCACATGCTCATAGTTGAACTGTGTTTGCACCCATATAATTGATGATCTGTGTACAGATTTATTGGCTGTGAGAAACATTTGTTTGAATATTTTTACTTACAATTGTTTTTTGAAGTTGCTTACATAGTATTGGCATCTCGCTTTTGATAGACATGTACATTCTGAACATTTTCTCCCACTGTGATGTACTTTTTCATCCTTAATTGTATTTTTAGAAAACAGTTTTTATTAATTCTAATATTAAGTATGTCATCTTTCTTTGAATCATCTTTCTTTGATCTTTCTCTGAATTCTGCTCTGTTCTATCTTTGCCATAGTTATGTTCTGATTATGATAGCTTCATAATAGGTATTGATTGGGTAGTTCAAATCCTCCATGGTTATTTTTCAGCAAATTGACTTTGCTATTTTTGGCTTATTATACTTTCATTTGAATTGTAAGAATTAAATAGTCATTTTTTTTACATTCATAAAACCTGCTGGGATTTTGTGCTGCAGTGACTTTTGACCTTTTATAATATGAACCTTCCAAGTCATGAGTATGGCATGTCTCCATTTATTCAAGTCTTTAATCACCTCTTTCTTTCACTAACGATCGATATCTTCAGGGTTGAGCTCTTCAACATCTTTCATTTCATTTATTCTTCATGTTATTAGGACTGGTGTTTAAGTTCCCTCATCTATTTATTTGTTGCTGATGTTTAAATTCAGTTTTGTGTGGGCTCTCATTTTCTATCTTGGACATTATTGAATACACATTTACTTTTAATTTCATATTTGCTTTTTTTTCTCTGACTACTAACTTTAGAGCTCATTTCTATGACTAACTTAAAACGACCCTTTGCTGTCAAATCACAGAGACCACTAATGTTTTTTATTTTTGTCACTAGCATTTGATTCTGATAGTTGGATTCTTCTACATCTATTGGCTTTTGTGTCTCTGGAGTTTATCTCCATTATGTCAAAGACATTTTCTCTTAGTTATCTCTTAGACCTTTATCCTTCTGTTGGAGACCAGCCTGACAAAAGCGATAGAGCATAGCAAGCACCTCAGAATGGTATTTCTCTAAATGACTCTTAGCATCAGAAAGCTGACTTTACCTAAGAAAGGCTCAAACTTAAGATTCCGTACCTCTCTGATACTGTTTAATTCTGGGAATGCTGTTATTTTATTGGCATAATCAAGGAACAAATTCCAGGCTTTGGGATATGACTCAGTTGGTAGAGCGCTTGCTTAGCATTGTGAAAGCCTTGAGATCAATCTCCAGCACCATATAAACCAGGAGTGAGTGGTGGCTTATTCCGGGAATCCCAGCACTCAGCATACTGGAATTAAAAGTAGGAAGATCAGACATTCCTTGGCTAAACAGGGAGGTGGGGACCAAGTAAGACCCTGTCTCACATAAAGATAAATTTAATGGGAATTTGTCTGGAAACAAATTGAGAACTTCACACTCTGGAGTATGGTGGTCAGGAGATCTCTCAGTGAGACTGCATGGGTGCATTGCATACAGGAGCTTCATCTGTGCTTCCAAATTAAATGCTTTCTTGCTTTCTAAAAGTACAGGCCAGTACAAGAGAAGCCAGTGATATAATTCAGTCTAAAGGCACCTGAGCCTCTGCTAGTTGGCTTGACCAGAAACTGCTGCCTATTTTAGATTTAGTATTTAACCAAGGTAGGTCAGGAAAAGTCATATTTTCTAAAAGAATAACTACAGATTAATCATTAATGCTACAGGCAGAAGTAAAGCTGGACTATTCTTTGGGTAAAGGTTGGTGAGAGAGAGAACAGATGAAGAGTGTAAGAGAAGCTGAGAAAACCTGCTCA